TCGCCCAAGGAGAACACCCAAAAAGAGCTGCTGAAAAGCTTCACTCCTGAAATAAAACTAAATGATGCTTGGACCTGTGCAGCCCCCCCCAAGAGCTGCCGTGATCCAGGAGCCCCGAACAGGCTCCTCCTGGGGGGAGAAGGGGTGATCACGGAGTTTCCTAATGTAGGTACCTCTGTCACCCCGCTGGGATGCCCAAGAGCTGACTTGGATGGGTTAAAGTGGTTCGTTATTAACGTCCTGCCTAAACATCAGACACTGCCCTTCCTAACCTTTCAAGTATAATTTAAGAGAGATTTATACCCCCACGGATGGGAAGCCGCAGGGCAGCTCAAAAAGTCTGTAAACAAAATTGTCTGCCACATCGCATAGATTTTAATAGGGGTTTTCGCAGAATCCGAGTACGTTTCTGTCCCGATTTTTCTCTACCAATTTCTATAGGCATTCCTTTCCGGGGTAGTAGCGAGGTATCATATTATAATTTATCACAAGCCGCTGCATGGCTTTTTGAGGGCAGAGCCTTCAGTCCCAAGGCTGAGCACCAGGCAGTGCCCCTCCCTGCAGGATGGGGGGTACCCTGTCCCACCGGCCGCGCAATCGGCCCCGCTCCGTGCTGCCAGTCACCCACCTCCCCTGCCAACGCGGCGCGGGGAGACCTCGCCGGCCAGAAGGGATGGACAGAGCTCGGCAATGGGAAACTTCATCGCATCGCCGAGGAGGATCCTGCCCCGGGAGCAGCAGATATCAGGGATTTTCTTTTTTCTTTTTTTAAACGCGGGCAGAGGCACCGTCTCCCAGCATCGCCTGCAGTCCTGAGTGGCAGTGAATGAACTGCCCTGACATCTCCTATTGAAGCAAAGCAAAATGTGTTGAACAAAAACCATTTCAAGATGTTTTCTGAGTGTTGCCAAGTTACTCAACATGTTCTGCTTTAGTTGTCAGATGCTTTCAAAGCGATTTCCCTAACTCAGAGCACGAATGGTGAGGGCTCTCCCTGGGAATCTTTTGCCTGGGGCTACCATGGATCTGTATTTTCATAAGAAAAAGGCTCAACTGATGATTAATCTTCACCAGAGGAAGCAGGGCCTTTCTTTGGGATTTTTCTTCAGTTATTTTTAATTAATTTGTACAACTGGCAGTTACATTAAAGTGCAAAACCCAGGGCTAACGCTCCAGCCGGGCAGGACCCGGCTACCTTTCCTCCCGCAGCCCCATCTGCTCTGCCCGCTCCCCTGCCCGCTCCTGCACCCGGACCCTGCGGGGACAGCATCACCCCTCGGCTCCCCCGGCGCCCCGGGGCACAGAAAGCCTCTTGCCAGGGAGGGCAGGGAGGAATCGCTGCTTTCCGATCGGCATTTTTCTTCGAGCAGAGAGAAGTTTACCCACGGAAGGAAAGGTTGGGTTTTACATATTAATCCCAATGCATGGCGCCTTCTTTGGGGAGAAGAAATAAGATCATTGAATGAAAAGGAGAAAGCACCTTGGCTTTAAGTTCCCATAGGATAAATCCTGGTGTTTTCCAAGGTCCCAGGTGGCTGCAGGAGCGTGGCTCTGCAAAGGGCTCCTGGTCCCAGGGCTGCATGGGGCACAGGAGGGGTGCGGGCTGAAGCGTACCTGCACGCACGGGGCAAAGAAACCCTTTCTCTCCTTATCGCAGGCACAGTCCCTCCATGTTTTTATAAAAATAATGTCAGTGGCATTAACTGAGACAATGTTAACGTCTCCTTTCTGGACTTCTCTCTTGTGTAGCAAAGAGAAAGCTAATATGGGTGGAGGATTATTAAGGTTGTAATGTCAGACCAAAGAGAGGATTTTTATCTGACGGCCTTATAATGATGGACTGTGACATACACCGCTTCCAGCTGCTCTGTCCTGTTCTGTGAACAGCCTAGTCTGGATTCATTTAACGAGATTGGCAAAGTGTTGAATACAGCATATGGTGCCCTAAAACCACAGAACTTATTGACAGCAGCCTAGACTCGCTAAATAAAAAGAACTTCTTCCAAAAGCCTTGGTGTGTGAAGACTCAGCACTTTCCTTCCAGTCACACTAGGTAAAATCCCAGCCCTGCGCCTGCCAGCGCGGCTCCGCACCCCGCGCGCTCCCCCTGCCCGCAGACCCGGCACGTTATCCTCACGTGAACACCGCTTGGAAAGCCGCAGCTTGGAAAACGTGTGGATCTCCTCTGGCTACAGCGTAACTGCCCTGCAGAGCCTCCTCGCTCCCCGGCTGAAGCAACTACAGCTCCTCAGTAATCACACTAAAGACCCCATTTCTGAAATGGCTCAGCTTTCAGACCATTCATTGGGATGTAGCGCGGGCTCCCTGCCTCCCGAGATGAAGCTCATCAGCTGATGCTACGGAAGGTGAAGACGTTTGTCACAGCTCCCAGGTTATTCCAGCAAAACCCTGCCAGCCTCCCCTAGTCCCTGAAGATAACTTGGGCTGTTTGACCTCACTCCCGCAGCTCTGTGGAAATCACCCATCACAAAACCTCCGCACTCGGCGCCACCAGAAACCGCCCGAGCCTGGACTGACACCAACGCACTGGTCCATCGCTCTGCTCGCCGGCAGTGCAGAAGAGCTGCAAGGCAGGCAGAAGGGCACGCAGCCCCTCAAGAACGGCATTTGCACTGGATTCACACACACGCCTGCACACGGGGTGCAGAAGAGCGAGCCCGTACCACCACGCCGCCTGCGAGTGCGCAGGCTCGGGTGCTGCTCAGCGTCTCACCAGCAGACAATGAATAGGGCCAGTGACTCAGGGCCACTTGCTGACGCACCACACTGGGCTATTCTTCTCTCTCTAGATGAGTCGTTCAAAGATTGGACGCAGCCTATCTCTGAGAGAGGCGCCTGGAATTAGCTTAACTCTTGGCAGTACATGAAAAATCTAATTTCCTTAAGAAGGAACTGGATCTGGCTGTCTCGAGGCAGGCACAGGACTGTGCTCCCTCCCTCGGTCTGGCTGTATGCTTTTGCTAGTCATCAGAGCAGCTACACAACTCATTTCTCAGCAGCGGAGCAAACGGAGGAGTCGGATCCCTATTTGCACGTCCAAGTTCTCAGACTGGTGGAAACTAGACTGAAAATATACGGATGCTGTGAGGAATAGTCAAACGAGAATGGTCCTACCTTTTCTGGGTAGCAACCGCAAGGAAAACTGCCGGGGGAAACACTCTGCATCTTCCGTGAGCACCACCTCTCCTAGCCCAACACCCAAGGGACAGCGGGTTCACAGGCTTCGTATCTGCGGGACTTTGGTAACAGGCAACTGACAACGTGTAAACATCACCCCAAAGCTCTGAGATTCAAGTCAAAGCAGAAGTCAAACATTCAGCTGCTTCTCAGAGCCTCTTTGGTCTGGAAATGGGCTGGAAACGTCAGGAAACCTGTCCTTCCCACGAGATGCCCGGTACTTCCTTCTTCCAGCCGGGTAGGAAGTAGCTTTGCTCATGGAGCTCTGCTTGGTTTTGTTTCACCTCAACAGACCAGAAACCACAAAACTCTTACAGTCCTCAACTCTGTGACTTCTTGGACCCCTGCAGGGATCCGGGATCGGTTTGAGATGCAGCAGGACATTCCTCCTGCTCTATCCCTGCCTCCCAGCAGGGCTGCAGCGATCCACCCTGGGCTCTGCCGTAGGCTCCCCGTCAAGAGGCAGCCTAGAAACAGAGGGACCATCGCACGTCCTCTGTAGGCAACGAGCAGGTTCACATCCATATCGCGACCAGGACACTTTGCAGCTGCCTCGTGCTAAAACGCACCCTCCTCCTTCCCCTCGCCTACACCCAGAATGAACTTTCCTGTCTCTGGTGCCCGGCCCGGAGGCGCAGCGCCGTCCCCCATGCACCACCTCGCAGTATTCATGCTGGAAACAGTTCCTGGTGGGTGGGTGGAGAATTTGGGAGTTTTCTAGGAAAGCAGGATCCGATGTCTGTTTGGGGCTGAATCCCTGAATACGCTGAGCTCAGGTTAAAAAAAACAACCGAGTGAGCCAAATGCGGCTGCACCAGCCAGCACCTTGCCCGGCCAAGTCCAGCTGTCTCAGCTGGGCTCCTAGAAATTTTCTGATCTGGGGGGCATCCATGGGTAGAAAGTATTCACAAAAACTCTCTTCCCCAGCTGGGCTTTATTAGCGCCTCTTCTTTGTGTGGGAGACTCTCCCTACAAGCCAGATTTCTCCAGCCCTTTTGCCCAGTCCTTCTGCCATCCAGTCGATGATTTGTAGCTGGGAAGCATGGAGGGATGCCTTCTGACACCCTGCATCCAATTGTTACCATGCACGATCCCTCTCCCTCGCTTCGCCTGTGCACTGCTGGAGGCACATCTCCCTAAC